TGATCTTATTTCTTTCTCTGGCTGCTTTTAATAGTCTGTCCTTATCCTTGATCTTTGCCATTTTAATTACTATATTCTTGGTGTTGTCCTCCTTGGGTCCCTTGTGTTGGGAGATCTGTGCATCTCCATGGCCTAGGAGACCATCTCCTTTCCCAGATTAGGGAAATTTTCAGCAATTACCTCCTCAAAGACATTTTCTATCCCTTTCTCTCTCCTTTTTTCTGGTACCCTTATAATGTGAATATTTTTCCATTTGGATTGGTCACACAGTTTTCTCAATATTATTTCATTCTTAGAGATTCTTTATTCTCTCTGTGCCTCACCTTCTCTGTATTCCTCTTCTCTAGTTTCTATTTCATTTATCATCTCCTCCACCATATGCAATCTGCTTTTAATATCCTCCATTGTGCTCTTCAAAGATTGGATCTCTGCCCCGAAATAATTCCTGAGTTCTTGAATATCTTTCCATACCTCCATTAGCATGTTAATGATTTTTATTTTGAAATCCCTTTCAGGAAGAGTCATGAGGTCCATGTCATCTTTCTCAGGGGTTATATTAATTTTACTCTCAACCAGGTTCCTTTGGCATTTCATATTTGTATATGGCCCCCTCTAGTGTCCAGAAGCTCTACTCTCTGGAGCTGCTCAGTCCCTGAAGCAATGTTGGTGGTGGCAGGGGAGCAGTATTTGTGTCTGGGGGGAGGAAAGAGCTGTTTCGTGCCTACCGGCTGCTGTGCCTGCATCCACTGCCTGAACCAGTGGGCTGAGCACACAGTTATAAGCATGTATGTAACTTATAGTTTGTAGTTGCTGTAGACACATCTTCCCTCTGGCTGGCCTAACGCCAGGGTATAGTTTGCCAGTTTGCGATCCACATGGGGTTGGCTGGAGAAAGGCACAGTAGGCTGCTTATCATGGAGAGGGTCCTTGGAGCTGTGTACCCAGCCAGGGAGCTAGTGCACCTGGAAATCTTGAAAGCTCCCAACCTGCTGGGCAGAGTGCACCCAGACAATTTTGTCTACCTGTCCTTTCTCCTGAGCAGTAAGCTCTGCAATCCTTGCCCCTTTAGCAGCCCTCTTGCTAAGGACTTCCTTGTTTGGAAGTCTCTCAGACTGCCTGCCTTTCTTTTGTTCCAGAGCAGCCAGATATGGATCCCTGCTTTCCACAAGTAGCTGGAATCTTAGTCTCTCAAGGAATTCTGCCTGTCTTAGCTTTCCAAGCCCCTATTCTCAAGAGTATCGTGGAAGCACCATGAAATGTAGGTTTGTGTTCCCAGAGCAGATCTCTGGAGTTAGGTATTCAGCAGTCCCAGGCCTCCACTCCCTCCCTGCTCCATTTCTCTTCTTCCCACTGGTGCAGTGAGGTGGAGGAAGGGCTTGGGTCCCACTGGGCCACAGCTTTGGTACGTTACCCTGTTCCGTGAGGTCTGCTCTTTTCTCTAGGTGTGTGCAGTCTGATGCAGTCCTCTTTCCTGTTGCTCTTTCAGGATTAGTTGTATTAATTATATTTTCATATTATATGCGGTTTTAGGAGGAAACCTCTGTCTCACCCCTCATGCTGCCATCTTTAATCCTCTCTTCTAGAGCTTACATTTGATAGGGGGATTTCCTTGCCTGTCTGTAGTTACATTGCTCTGACTGTAAATATCTTACGTTGCTTTGTCTAGAGGCCCTCATCCTTTTTTGTCTAAGCTCATGGTCCCTGTGTCACCATGAGTATGGACTTCCACTGTGTCAGGGAGGTTAGCTGCATAGAAATGATATTTACAGCAGATTCATTTTCAGAACCACTTATGTCTCCAGCTTCTAGTGTTGTTACTGTGACAAGAACCCACTGATAACTCCCTTGCGATTCTTCAGCCGCCACCCCTCCCCAAATCCCAGTGTGCTTTCATCCAGCGACACACAAACTTTCCTCCATCTTCTGCTTCTATGAAAGCTGCTTTTACCTCACCCCCTTTAAGGAAGTCCATCTCTCCCCCAGTGTTCTGCTTTGCGAGCAGCATCAACCTTTGCATTTGGGCGTAAATATATCCTGGATTCCTACAGGAAGTAGGGTTAGGATTGTTGGGGGAGCGTTGTGTATTTTCCTCGATCCTTGACCCCACTGCGACAAAGAGCTGAATGGCAGAGACACAGTAGTGAAGGAGAGTAAAAGTTTTATTTAAAGTTAAAGAGAGAAAAGTACAGGCCACCTCAGCAAGGAGAGGTGCCCTGAAAGGTCTGGAGAGAGAAAGTTTAACATTAAAAGGTTACACACTTAGAAAGTGCAGGTGACCTGAGAAGTGTGCCCCTTGAAAGGCTGAAAAGAGAGTTTCAAGTAGAAGTTTATGTACTTAAAAAGTGCAGGCAACCTCAGGGAGAGGCATGCCCCAAAAGGTTGAGGGTTTCCCCTTTTAAGGATTCTTTAGGAATGTGACTAAGGGCTGGGGGTGCAGACTGGTTAAGTGGTCTTTGAATATTTAGGATTGACTTAACACAAGGAACTTCCTGCTCTGATTTCTCCCTGGGATACCGGCGTCTAGGTCTGGGAGCCTATCAGACTGCCTGCCTAGCCCCCAAAGTGGGCTGAGTTATGGTCTGTTTGCTAAAGTGTAAGTTAAGAATCTTACATTTTTAACTTCGTGGATATTAAAATACAGTCCTTAAGATGAAATCCTTCCTGCTTTTCACTATGTTGTTTATGACTGGGCCTGCATGCTAAATTAGCTGCCTAGGTTACAAACTACTTAATTAGGGTCAGATGGAGAATAAAAACAGCATATAGGTAAAGGTAAAAAAGTAAACTGGGCCTGCATGATTAACACAATAAAGACATGGGCTATGTTGAGGTACCCTTCTTTATCTGGGGAATATCAAACATTCCAGGCCAAGTTGCTCCTGGTTTTCTGAACTTTGATTGATTAGTTTTGGGTCTTTTTAGGGGACTTTCTGGTGTTTTTCTCTTTCCACCCTGCTCATATCTATTTTCCCGCTTAACAGGGTCATTATCCTCCTAGTTTCCCATGCCTGTCATTCCTTCACTGTCAGGTACAAATAGCTGCTCCTTTAAGGCAGTCATTTAGTTGCTCCATTCATTCATTTAGCAATACTGATTGAGCACTGTTTTCTCGGTTACCAGATGCAAGCTGGGGTAACAGTGTTGGTGAAGTGTTGGGTATTTCCTCGGTCCTTGTCCCCGCCATGACAAAGAACTGAAGGGCAGAGACACAGTAGTGAAGGAGAGTAAAAGTTTTATTTAAGGTTACTTAAAGAGAGAAGTACAAGCCACCTCAGCAAGCAGAGGTGCATTGAAAGGTTAGAGAAAGTTTAAAAGGATACACACTTAGAAAGTGTGGGCGACCTCAGAGAGGACCACCCCCTGGAAGACTGAAAAGAGAGTTTAAAGTTAAAACATTACACACTTAAAAACGTTTGGGCAGCCTCAGGGAGAGGCATGCCCCAAAAGGCTGGGGTTTCCCCCTTTTAAGGTTTCTTTAGGAATGTGACTAAGGCCTGGGGGTGCAGACCTATTAAGTGGTCTTTGAATACTTAGAATTAGCTTAACACAAGGAAGTTCCTGGTCTGATTTCTCCCTGGGATACCGGGGTCTTAGTCTGGGAGCATATCAGACTGCGTGCCCAGCTCCCAAAGTGGGCTGAGTTCTTGTCTGTTTGCTAAAGTGTAAGTTAAGAATCTTACATTTTTAACTTCCTGGGTATTAAAATACAATATTTAAGATGGAATCCTTCCTGCCTTTTACTATGTTGTTTACGGCTGGGCCTGCATGATTAATACAATAAAGACATGGCCTATGCTGAGGTACCCTCCTTTATCTGGGGAATATTCAAACATTCCAGGCCAAGTTGCTCCTGGCTTTTTGAGCTTTAATTGATTAGTTTTGGGTCTTTTTAGTGCACTTTCTGGCTTTTCTCTTTCCACCCCGCTCATATCTATTTTCCTGCTTAACAACAGGAACCTGCAAAATTAGGCGTCAGCCCCTGCCTTCATGGTATTTGCAGTCTGGAGACGGTATTAGTCACTGCGCTGTGAATGCAAATAATGGAAAGGCAGAGAAGGCTTCTCTGATTGATAACTCCGCTGAAATGAAACTGGGTGGGTGGAATTAACCAAGTACAGTAAATAGACGGGGTGGTGGGGAGAACATTTCTGGAGGAAAGAATAGCATGTGCTAAGGCCCTACGGTTAGAGCACTGAGTCAGTGAACTGGAAGGCAGCCACTGCCACAGAGAATGAAGGGGGCCTGCAGTCAGCCAAGCCAGTTTTGTAGTTTCATGCATTGAGATTCGGTCTTTGTCGTGAGAGCAGCGAGAAGCTGCCAGTAGGCTTTAAGCAGGGGGAAGGGTCCGATGTATTCTTCAAGGACCTCTGGCTCCAGTGTGGAAACGGCATCTCTGGGGGTCAGGGGCAACTGTGGAGACCAGCAGAAGGGGGCTCTGGTGGTTTGGGTTGTGCGGAGGCCGTGGAGGTGGAGAGACAAGGAAATGTTTCAGTTACTAGATGAACACTGCGAACCACGGGGTCGGCGAATCCTGAGAAACAATCTTGAGAACTGGGGATTGGCGACGCCCCTGCAGGTACAAACAACCCTGGAAAAGCCGTTATTGTGGATTGAAAAGCAGCCTGCAGGGCGCCGCGGCTCATCTTGGCGGAGGTCGGCTGGGACCTCTTCCGCGCCTCGGCCTCGGCCCAGCGCGCTGCCCGTCCAGCGCCCTGACCGACAGAGGGGCACCCGCCGGGGAGGACACAGGCCCCGCTCCCCCCGATGGAAAAGGCGAACCCTGAGCGAGCGAACGCTATCAGCGTAGGGTGCGTGCCTTTCGGGCACAGTAGGTGCGCTGCAGGCCCAGGGCCGCAGAGCCGGAAACCCGCCCGAAGGACAACGGAGAAATAGCCTTCTACGCATGCCCAAGCGCGCTGCTCCCGCCGAGGTCATCTCGCGCCCCCTCGCAGGGCCTGCGTGTGACGTCACTGCCCGGCGCCCGCAGAAAGAGGGCTGGAGGGCGCACGTGGGCCCATGGGGAGTTCTGTGGGGCTGGCTCTGTGTGGCCAGACGCTGGTAGTGAGGGGCGGCAGCCGGTTCCTGGCCACGTCTACTGCGAGCAGGTGAGAGGTCTGGTCCTGGAGCAGAGAGCCCAGCTGCGGGACGCGGCGGGGTCTGGGGAGCCGTTTCCCCCGCGCCGCCGGGGCTGCGCCCCTCTGGGGCGACCACGGGGAGCCCAACCGCGTGCCTGCTCTCCGTGCCCTACTCCCAGGGTTCGCCCTCAGCGCGCCCCTCGCCGCCTGTCCAGGACCCGACGTGGACGGCCTGGTCAGCGACGGACACTTGAGGACTCTGCGGGGGGCGAGGGGTCTCGTGGACACTGGCCACACCCGCCCTGAGGCTGGGGAGGAGGGCGGCCCCCGCCTCCTTGGTGAGAGGAGTTTGCTCTCGGGGAGCACGTTCAGATGCCCGTGCCCGGGCGCGCTCTCTGCGGTGGTCCTGCTCCCTCATCCTTGACCCCCCATCCGTCAACTCCGCTCCTTTTGCTCTTCCGGGCTCGAGGGTGCACGTGCGCCCGCCGCGCGCTTCCGATGGCCCTTCCCACGGCTCTGTTTCCCTGATTTCACGCTCCTTCCTTATTGTTCCCTAGAGCTTACACAACGCCTGGGAGTTTTAAATCAGTAAATGTGCGTTGATTGAACAGTTTTGACCCAGAGCCTCATGGGTATTAGTGGTTTGTTTCTGCCCTTGTTTTCCTATCCTAGGGTAGTTTGATTCACACTTGAAACTAACGTCTTATCTATCAAATGTACATATACTCACTGTGCGCTTTGTTAAAACATTTGCTTTCAGAAGTCCAGTTCCGTGTTAAATTCAGATTTCACAAAAAGTTTACTCACAAACCTGTTGTGTATCCTCTATTATTTTGTTTTAGAGACTTGAGGTATCTAACGTGTGCCACAGTGAGATATGGATATATTAGACCCCACCTGCTTGCATCCGTCTATGCCTTTTAAAGAAATTCAGTGGCCGGTGAAGTTTCTGACTTGCAGGAGTTTTTTTTGGTATCATTAATATACAATTACATGAGCAACATTGTGGTTAGTAGAGTCCCCCCATTATCAAGCCCCCACCACATACCTCATTATAGTCACTGTCCATCAGCATAGTAAGGTGCTATAGAGTCACTACTTGTTTTTGTGCTGTACAGTCTTCCCCGT